TTGTGCGCTACTTGATTTTATAATGTAAGTGGCTAGAATTATATATTTTCCTCATAGGATGGTTTTTAATCGTGTTTCAGAGACTTAATTGTTTTTATTTTCATTTCCAGTAATTTTTTCTTTCTTGATTTATTTTTTACATATTTATCATTCAGTAATATGTTATTTAATCTTCATGAATTTATATACTTCCTAGAGATTTCTTTCAATTTTGTCTTGTTTCATTATGGTCAGATAGGACATACAGAGTGTGTGTAATCAAAACTCTGAATTTCTGAAGATTTTCTTTATGCCCTTGGATATGGTCTATTTTAGAGCAGCTTCCATGTAATGCTGAGTAGAATCTTTGGTGTTTGGGTAGAAGATTCTAGCTGTCTGTTAAGTTCACTTGATGTATGATATCATTTAATTGTGATGGTTCAGTTTACATTTGTGCAGATAACCTGTGTATTGGATAAAAGGGGGGGTATCAAAATCACCTACTATAAATGGGTTAGTGTTAATGTGTCTTTATTCCAATAGCACAGTTTTTTTTTTTTTTAAATGAAATTGGGTCCTATTCAATTTGGTGCATATAGTTTTAGGATAGTAATGTCTTCTTGGTTAACTGTTCCCTTAATTAGAATGAAGTGCGCCTGTTTACCTCTTCTGATGTCTGATGAGTTTTAGTTTGATGCCTATTGTCAGACACTAGAAGAGTGACACCTGCTTGATTTGTGGTCCTGTGGAATACTCTAGCTCATCCTTTAACTTTACTGCCTATCTGTAAAGTTAAGATGCTTTCCTTGTAGACAACAGATAGATAGGTGCATTTTGTTTCTTGATTCATTCAGTCAGCCTATGTCTTTTGATTGGAAAATCGAGATTGTTAATATGTAAAGTTATTATCCAAAGGTATGTGTTAATTGCACCCCTGTTTTTTCTCCTAACATAGTGCTGGACAGAGAAGAGAGCACAAAGGGATCCATGGTGTGAATGTAGCACATAGCTGCATACCATAGCACTCCGAGTGTAACATAAGCAATATTTGTATGGAATTGTTTGCTCTATTCTTTAAAATCCACAGCAAAATTCACAAAATTATTTTATTCACTAGTTTCTTGCCTAGTGTCTGGCATATACTAATCATTTAGTGAGTGATGTCTGAATCCATAAAAATAATGAATTAGTTTTAATAGTTATTTTCCCATCTGTACACAAATTGGGATTTCTTGGTCTGAATTAATTTTTGTTGTAAATTATAGCTTCCTTCAAGTTTGTCTATGAATACTGAATATAGTGACATTATTTTCGTAGAGTAAGTATTGTGCTGACGTCCGACTTTTAGAAAATGCTACTATTTGTAATGTTTTCCAGTTTCTGTAGTCTAAATGTGTCTATGATTTCAAGCTAACCCACATCACTTCATGGAATGAAGTCCCATGGGGAGTTGGGAGTTCTTGTGACTTGCTTAGTACCCAGTTAACTGTTTAACTGTTTAGTACCCCAGTTAAAGATTTCTCTAGTAGTACGTTTTCAATGAACACATACTTTAAAAAGATTGGCCATTCTTTAAGGCCATGCTATCAACTGAAGCGACGAATTGAAAACAAATCTTTATATCTCAGTGAAGACGTGTTATTCTATGTGAAGTCCACACTAGTGTGATGACCATTTTCATTCAGGTCCCAGGTGTGCTGTTATTATTATTATTATTTTTGAGGTTCGTGATCTGCAAGCCCCACTCCTATTTTAGGAGCTTGAATCATAGCACTTTCAGATTATATATAAGTTAACTGTGGTGCCAGCTTCCACCTGTTCCCAGACTTTGTTCCTTAAAAGAACTAATAATGTGTTGGACTTGATAGCTAATTTGTTGAAGGGCCTGATAAACCAGCTAGCTTCAAAAGCCTCTCTTACATTTTTGGTTGAGTCTAGCCTTCAACATCTGAGTCATCTCTCCAGCACCTCCCTCCTTCCCTCCCTCCCTCCCTCCCTCCCTGCCTCCCTCCCTCCCTCCCCCCTCCCCCCTCCCACAACTGTATATTTGTATACAGTGTGTTGTGATTGTATTTGTTGTTCAATTACTCTTTCTCACCCTTTCCTGACTCCCACCGTTCCCTCAATTATGTTCAGTCCCCCTTTTCCTCCTTCTCTCTCCACAGTGCCCATATCCTTCCGGGTCTCATGCAGTCCAGGGTAGGCTCAGACTCGATAGGTAGCAAGGCTGGCCTTGACTTTCTGACCCTCCTTCCTCTATCTCCCAAGTGCTTGGGTTCTAGGTATGCATCATCTCTCAGCTTTAGGTTATTTCTTAAAATAAGTTGCCTCTGGAGTCTTTCACATTAAGGACACTTTGTTTCTGTCTCCATTAAACTGCACCATGACTCTTTTGCTACATTTCTTTCAAGCTGTCACCTTGAATATATATTAGTTCTGGATCCTCTTTACAGAGGTAAATAACAGTGGTTAGACAACTGCCTTCCAAATCCATTTGTTTCATTGTTAATTATCAAGAAAAAGCTGTTAGTCTTTAATGTCTTGAATGTGACTTATTCCAAAGATAGTTAAAATTTAGAGTTCCTTAACAGATTGTCATTGTAATAGTAATAGTAATCTGTTTAAAACAAAGAAGTTGGATTGCAGATTTTATTAGTAGGGGTTGAGGATTTAGCTCAATGAAAGAGCATCTTCCTAGCAAATGTCCTTCGTTTGCTTTCCAGTGATAGTTTTTCATTTATTTCAAAGTAACTTAATAGAGTTCTGAAAGTGACAAGTCACCTCAAAAGTGGTCATATTTTGGTTATTATTTGGACATAATATAATTTTTAAAACAATTGATTTGATGCATTTGAATATATTTTTATTTAATGTCTATTCACATCCATCACAGAAAATGAAATTTGAACTATGGAACTTGTTTATTAAAAATAGAGTGAGACAACAGTGCTTTTGTCAAAAATACTTATTAATTATAAAATAAAATTGACAACTTAAAATATTGACATTATTGATGAGTAACTTATTTGGGAATTTAATTGGTGAAACATAAATCTTGGTTTTATAATATTAAATACCTTATTACATTTCCTTCAGGGTAACAAGTGACTTCAAGCTAAGCATTTAGATCTTAGTAGTCTATGATTTATATGGTCTTACTATGCTAATAGAAGATAAAGTCTTTGCTTCCAACAATAATAGTAAATTTAATAGTGAATGAAGGAATATATGTCCCATGCAATGAAAGAACAAGAATCTTGATCATAATAAATAGTTGTAATGTTGTGTGGTACAAACTATACAAATAATATGACAGGCTTAATGGAACATAAAGTGAAATATTTAAATGATATTTTATAAAAAACTTCCTTATTTCAGTGAAAGACACCAGGTTGGAGGCAGTGATAGGCAATTGCCTATCTCACAAGGTTATTTCTGCCTTGTTGTTGATTCCTACGCAGAAAGGCTTTCTGTGATTATCTGTATTGTTTATTGTAAGTTGTTTTAATATGAAAAATATCCGCAAACATGGAGTCTGTGTGAGAGTCAGTGTAAGCATATGATCTGTGCTCATTTGAAATATGTGATTACCTTACATTTCACAAATATACCTTCCTTCCTTTCTTTTTTTGTAATGATTTTTAATTTAAATTAGAAACAATCTTGTTTTACATGTCAATCCCAGTTTGCTCTACCTCTCCTGTTCCCCTCACCATCCCCATCCCATCCCCTTTCTGCTCTCCAGGGAGGGTGAGGCCTTTCATGGGCAGTCTTCAACATCTGTCATATCATTTGGAGCAGGACCTAGGCCCTCTTCCATGTGTCTAGGCTGAGAGAGTATCCTTCTATGGGAATAGGCTCCCAAAGTCCATTCACACACTAGGGATACATACTGATCCACAACTAGAGGCCCCATAGACTGCCAGTCCTCCTAACTAACACCCACATTCAGGGGTCTGGGTCAGTCCTATGCTGGTTTCCTAGCAATCAGACTGGGGCCCATGAGCTCCCCCTTCTAGTTCCATCCATTTGCCTGCAAATTTCAAGATTCCATTGTTTTTATCCGCTGAGTAGTACTCCATTGTGTAAATATGCCACATTTTCTTTATCCATTCTTCAGTTGAGGGGCATCTAGGTTGCCTTCAGGTTCTGGCTATTACAAACAATGCTGCTGTGAACATAATTGAACAGATGTCCTTGTTGTATGAGTGTGCATCTTTTGTGTATATGCCTAAGAGTGGAATTGCTGGGTCTTGTTTTAGACTAAACATTTTTCTGAGGAGCTGCCATACTAATTTCCAAAGTGGCTGTACAAGTTTGCACTCCCACAAGCAGTGGAGGAGTGTTCCCCTTTCTCCACATCCTCTCCAGGATAAACTGTCATTGGTGTTTTTGATTTTAGCCATTCTGACAGGAACAAGATGGTATCTCAGAATTGTTTTGATTTGCATTTCTCTGATGGCTAAGGATGCTGAACACTTTCTTAAGTGTCTTTCAGCCATTTTAGATTCCTCCATTGAGAATTCTCTATTTAGTCCCACTTTTGCCTACTATTAACAGTTAATATACTGGAAATCTGGTCTATAACCTGCATTTTATGAATTATTTTTATTTTAAGAAACAATATAAGAAATGCTATCATTTTATTTTTATTCTTTGTAAAAGAAACTGAGTTCTATAGTTATGGAGGTTCAGTTCCTTGCTGAAGATTTTGGTTTCCTATTTTGAAGATACTATTTAAAATTGACTAACTCTAAAATTCATTTTATTTTTACTACATTGTACTTCTAAATAAATAAAAATAATTTCAGAATGCGAAAAAACAACTATCATTTTGATACGAGTTTTTCTGTCAAAGTAATCTTATTATAATCATGCTTATAAAATTAAAGAATTATTTAATTTATAGTAGCATTTAGTCTTGATTTCATTTTAACTTCAAAAGTATAATCAAGTAATTTTTTTGTTTCTCTTTCATTCTGAGGGAGACTTATTTCTTTTTCCTGTGTTATTGTGTGCAGGTTATGTGGGTGTGTAATTTGTGCCGAAAACAACAAGAAATCCTCACTAAGTCAGGAGCCTGGTTTTACAATAGTGGATCTAATACACCACAGCAGCCGGGTCCCAAGGCTCCCCGAGGGCTTCGGAACGAGGAGGCTCCGCAGGAGAAGAAAGCAAAACTGCACGAGCAGACTCAATTCCAAGGACCCTCAGGTGACTTACCGGTCCCTTCAGTGGAGAAATCTCGGTCTCATGGGCTCACGAGACAGGATTCTATTAAGAATGGGTCCGGTGTGAAGCATCAGATTGCCGGTGACATACCTTCAGACAGGTAAACATTTAGTGTAATTTTAGGTAAAATTGTTGTTTGTTTGTTTGTGTAGGAGTGTGCATGATGTGGCATGGTACACATGTTTGTGTAGGATTGTGTCATGGTACACGTTTGTTTGTATAAGTGTGTGTTATGGTACACATGTTTGTGTAGGTGTATGCCATGGTACATGTCTGTTTGTGCAGATGTGTGTCATGGTACACATGTCTGTTTGTGTAGGAGTGTGCATGGTGTGTCATGGTACACAGGTGAAACTCAGAGGAGGACAACATAGTGGAGTTCTTGCCATCTGCCTTGTTGTGGGTTCTGGATGTTGAACCTGGTTCATTAGGCCTGTGTGGCATGTGCCTGCTGAGCCATCTTGCTCACCCAAATGCAGTGTTCATAATATTCATTCCAAGCAGAAATAAATATATATGAAATTTTTAAGCAACAGTGAGTTGCCTACATTTTATAGTCCTTGATTTCCTCTTCCCTCCCTCCCATAAGCACTATATGTAATGTTTAGGATTTGAGCTATGACATATTTAAAGCATTTTATGTTTGATATGGGTAAGATTATAAGACAGATTTCCAAGAATAAAGAAATGGATTTTAATAAAACGGGTTTTGATGCTGTTGCTGCAAATTGCAGCCTTCCTACTGGGGTATTGGTTTTCCACCATGGTCTTTCTTGAGTAAAGGCAGAGGCTATTTCTCCCTGTGTTTAATAGGCTTTATTATTATTATTATTATTATTTTTTGGTGAACATTCTGCTTTTATTTCTTTTTTTTATACTTTTACACTAAATTGTAAAAGTGCTTTATATGTCTTTTTCAGCTTATGTATTATAAGTGTTTTCTTTCTAAATTTCTTGAAATATAATTTGATGATATACATGGTTCATCATGCTGCTCAGGCTGGCCCGGCTACCTTATTCTTCCATCATAGCCTCCGGTGCTGTCATTTGCTACAGTACCCATCTCACCTGCCTTAGGATGAACAAAATCCTTATTTTGATGATGGTTGATTTGCTTTTGGTTAGTACTTCCTAAGGAAATCATTGATTCTGAGAAGTCGTTGCCCACCCATAGAGGCTTTATATCTGTAGCCTGCATCAAAGGTGAGACCTGTTCTTGAGTATTTTCTTTATATCTGTAGCCCGAATCAAAGGCAAGATCTATTCTTGAGTATTTCCTTTTGTGGTAATGGGAATTGAATACAGTGCCTCATGCATGCAATCAACTGCTCTTCCATGGAGCTATCTGCAAATTCTTTCTCTAAACTTCTAGAAATTTTATGCTTTCACATTTTACAGTTATACACATGATCCATTTTTGGTTTGGTTAAAAATTTTATGAATAAAAAAGAAAAACTTCCTATGTATATTTCTTTGAATGCATGAAAATTTAATTGTTACACCACCATTATTATTATTATTATTATTATTATTATTATTATTATTATTTTTTTTTTTTTTTACAAAGGTGACTCTTCCTTAACAGACTATCTTTGTTTTCTGTCTAGAATTAGTTGTCAGCTTTGAATAGGCCTCCATGTCATTTCTCTTTTCCTTTACCAATCTGCCTTTGGGCCTGACAAGCTACATCGTTATGATTGCTAAACACTTAATATGTCTTCAAACCTTATAGAGTTAGACTTCTAACTGTGTTGTTTTTAAAGCTGTTATGGTCATTTGAAGTTTCTATTTCAATTTTAGGATCATGTAAGAAGTAAAATTTAGACTAATTTCCCCACAAATACATGTCATAGAAAAATGCCTGCCATTTCTGAATAGTAGAAATACTATAAGAAACATAGAGTTGGATTTTTTTTAGTCTTTAGTTTTTAATTGAGAAATTTACTTAATTTAATTTTCAAATAATTATTGATTAGGTAAGGTCTTATAACTACTTTGTAATTTGGTTCCTAGCACTTTAACTTTTTTTTAACCTCTCATTCTCTCTCTCTACCTTTTCTATTTTGTTGTTTATTTACTTGTTTAAATTGATAGTCAAGATAGTATGTTGTATTTTTAGTATACAACATGGTATTTGGCTATTTAGTAGATAAGTTATATCACTTATTTTCCCAGTGAGAAGATTTGAAGGCTACTCAGCAATTTTCAGATGTACAGTATCTTTGTACTAATTGTAGCTATCATGATGTACAATAGCACTCTTTCATTATTATCTGTTAATTGTACATATTAATGGATTTCAGTTTGGTGGATACATGTATGCAAACAGCATGTGCTTCTCTTTTATGCTTTCCCTTTGTGGTTAAGTATTTTGTCTGGAAGAGAGCTTGAGAGCTTGAGAATTATTTTACTTGTCAGTTGTACAATCTTGCTTTTTTGTTGTCATAAAGTTTACAAAAATGATCTTCTGATTATAGCAATCTATTTTGAAACAATACAGTATGTTATGATAATAAAGACTAGAAGAGGACTAAAGAGAAATATGTTAATGAAACATCCTATATCTGTATTCTATTTTTTCACAATTTTGATTTTTTTTTTTTAATGGCCCATCAAAAATTGAATGGGTGATGCATCATGCTTACATATTAGGGTAATTTCATTTTGTTTCTTTTCTTTTCTTTCTTTTTTTTTTTTACCAGTTGCATTTATATTTTCTGTTGTTTTTCTCTTTACTCATTAAGGATAATTTCAAGTTGAAGAACTGCCTTTAGCATTTCTTGCAGCGCCTTTCCCCCTTAAATCTGGGAATGTCTTTATTTTTCTATTTCTAAATGATAGCTTTGCTGGATCAAGTATTTTTTTATTGGCAGTGTTTTTATTCAATACTATAAGATCTTACAGTTCTCCTATCCAGTAAGTTTCTTGATGAGAAGTTTACAGTCAGGTGATGTATTAATGAATTGTTTATTTCTCTGTCTTGCATGGTTATGATATATCTTGGGATAGGTGTATTTGAGTTGATTCCAGTTAGTTGACCTTTGATTTTCCTGTCCCTGTATATTTTGTGTGTGTGTGTGTGTGTGTGTGTGTGTGTGTGTGTGTGTGTGTGTGTGTTAGGTTTAAGTTTTCTGATTTGTTTTCTTTTCAAATGAACTTTCTTCCCTTTGACAATAACAAGTCTCTTTTTAACCATAATATCACAGATATCTACCCCTTCAATGCTGTTCAAAATTACTGCATGTTCATGCTTTAGTTAGGATTCTATTGCTGTGAAGACATACCATGACCTCAGCTATTCTTATAAAGGAAAACATTTAATTGGGGTTGGCTTACAGTTCAGAAGTTTAGTTCGTTATTGGAATAGTGGGAAACAGTGCCACATGCAGGCAGACATGGTGGTGGAGAGGTAGCTGAAGAGCTCTACATCTTTATCTGCAGGCAACGGGAAGTGAGACTTCAAAACCCAAATATCTACTCTAACAAGGCCACATCTTCTAATAGTGCCTGTCCTTATAGGGGGCATTTTCTTTCAAACCACCACAGCTCACTCCATTTCTCTTGTTTTTTTCCTCTTTCCTCTTCCATCTGTATTCTTGAATAGCATGTCTCTAGCCTTGTTCTCTGTTTGCTCAGGTTTATGTTCATATTAATGTCTTTTTTTTTTGGTAGGGGCATGCTTTAAAATTCTCTAGTATAATTTTCAACTGAAAATTTCTGTTTGATTTTTAAACATTGTCTCCATTTTTTTTTTTTTTTTAGAATTTTTTTGTGTTAGAATTTTGAATTAGTTTTTTGTGTTCTGGCTTTTTAAAACAGCTATTTAGAACTCCATTCAAATTTTTAGTGTGTCTTGCCTTGTTTTGACTGTTAGTTGATGTCAACTAAAAGTTCTTGATGTTTGAAGAATTAGGCACTTACTCTAATTTTTACAACACTTATGCCTGTCTATGCACGAATTCTAAGCAGATTGTTTGTTTTCTCTGGATATGTTGTCCCTTCTGCTCCTTCAGCACTTGGTGGATTTCTCAGAAGTCTCTAGAAAAGTGCATGTTTTCATTTGTCAGAGTCAAGTGGAATATACTAATGTCAGACCTGGTGACCACAGGATTCATTTTTATGGACATTGTTACTATGCCAGTGCTGGAGAGTGAGTCCAGTCCAGTTTTCTTTCAAGTCAACAGTTGGTGATTTCTTTAGGAAGATGTTCCTCCAAGTCTCTTCTGGATCTAGGTAGGCATAGACATCCTGTCTACAGTTGCTGACCTTGTGGGTGGAATGCTGCCGGACTCTGGACAGAACTGCTATGGAGGGACATACTTCAGCATCCTGTGTCCTGAGCTAATGCTCTATTCCATTTTCCTCCTCTAGGCATTGGTTTCCTGTGCTTTGCTAATTGAACTCATGTAAAGAGCGGAGTGGGCACCAGTACCACAATGCTGTATCATATCCCCAATCTAAAGCCCATTAAGACCAGCAGCACTGAGGTTGGACCAAGGCCCATCCTAGCCCAAGATCAAACCAGCCACAGGAAATGGTGGTTGGAAAAGAATCTGGTGGACTAGGTAGGGCTTAGGATCTTTGTCTGTCATTGAAGGTATTATAGGAACTTCATTCTTGGGTACTGGCTTGGTGATAGGGGCTTTAGCTAAGGTTTGGCTAGGTTAGGTTCTTGCCAACCTAGTACTGAGTACCAGAAAAATGCCTTGTGCTTCCTACTTGATATTTCAGTAGATTGAATCTTGCTCCACACTGTGCTGAAGCAGTGCTTACCTGGCTAATATGGTTCCCAAGGCTCAGTGATTAAGTACTAACTTCAGGGTGTGGATTAGGAGGCTATGCCTGGTACTGAACTTCACTGTAGCAGTTGCGGTGCAGATTTTCCAGCCTAAGATCAAGGCTTAATTTCTTACTCCTACATTTTGGTTAGTCTTTCCAAGCTATCCTGTGTTATTTGGAGTCTGGGGAGGAGTCATGTGGGTAACCTTTTTCTTGCCTTATGCAAAGATGTATCTTTTATTATACTAAGCACTGTGGTCTGATACCTGCGGTGGTGATTTTGAATTAGAATTGTAATGAGTACTGTTTTTCCGCCTGCCG